GAGCTAAGGACACTCATCCCCAAGGTGTGTCTCTCAAAAACTGGTTGCCTCAGGCATCACTATGTTTAATCATATCACAGACACCTGGAATAGCCATCATGACCCCCTCTGATGCACTGTTGAGAAATTACAGGCAGCAATGAAGTAATGGACTCGCCCAGAGTCACATGACAAGCACTTGGTCTGGCCCCAGCCAGAGCATAATGGGCCAGGGGTGATGTTCCCCTCAGACAACCTGCTCCCTCTACTGCTTCCTTCCTCCCAAGTGGGGATGAAGAGGTATTTCTCCCTGACTATGCCTCAATCTCCTTGACAGCATGGAAACAGCCCAGGCCCATAGTCCCTCATTGTTGTGGCTCCTACAAGGCAGCATTCTTTCTCACCCAGGGCAGGAACAGCTAGTCCCTAAGAGTATCTCACAGAATATTTTCCATTTATTCTTCACCCCTGACTACAGCTGAGATGAGAGCTTTTTAGAAATTTATTTATATTTTATGTATATGTGTGTTCCACATGTTTACCTGTGTTGGTAGAAGAGGGCATCAGATCCTATTGTAGATGGTTGTGACCCAGAATGTGGTTACTGGGAATTGAACTCAGGACCTCTGGAAGAGCAGACAGTACTCTTAACCTCTGAGCTATCTCCCCAGCTCCTGAGATGAGAGCTTTTCCATGCCATATACAAAAATCTTTAAGCATCTCAGTAGCCCAAGGGAAGTGAGTTTTCACACTTTGCTCTACCAGTCCTGAGCTTTTGACATGCAGTACTCATGCAAGCTAGGTAAGTGCTCTGCCACTGAGCTACACCCCCAGGCCCTCTTCAGTTGCTTTTAAAACAGGCACATGACTTCATCAGTTTAAAGAGAAAAGGATGGGCTAGCTGTGAAGCTGATTTCCACTGCTGTGTGCACAATAATGTTTCCTTAATATGTGATATTCTAATCAGCCTGTCCCCTGGCATTCCACACTCAATGTCCGGAATGACACCAATGCAAGAGCTTCTGCCATATTATAGATTAGCAGATATTCTGTGACGTTATCAGTGTACAGAACTCTGTTGTGAGCTGTGGGGAGGAGCGCAGAGGGAGGGAGGCCCCTTCCTTGGTTGTATTACAAGAACCATAAGCAGCTGTGTCCTCTCCCTGGAGATTGGGGTCAGGAGACTTGAGGCCATGATAAAGAGGCTGGGGATTGGAGTACAGCTGTAGTTTGGGCTCCCATGGAAGATCTCACTGCCACTGGCTTACTGCCTGACACTGTTTGATCACAAGCTCCCTCCCCCACACCCCAAAACAGGGCCTGGGAAATTCAGCACACTGTGCTTGCCTTGTCTCCCCAAATTTCACGATACTGACACCAAATAGCTCATCAGATAGCTATGAGGTAACCGGAGTTTTTCATTTTGCACTCTTGGCTTGTAAAAGAATAACGGTATCACTTGGGTTCAAGAGCACAATAGCTTTATTCTCTCTCATTTACTGTTCATCATAACCATGAATAATACCACAAACAGCAAGTGCGGAAGTCTGTAGAAATTCCCAAACTGGACAATAATTTTTTACGAACACTTGCCAATTTGCTTTAGCAGTTTGTTTTAAAAGGTGTTTGCAAGGTAGCCTTCCTCCCTTTTCCTGTCCCAAATCTACCATCTTACCCTGGCCTGTGCCTGTCCTTTGCCCTCCCTCATACTCAACCTCTGTCTCTGTGAGTTTTTCCATGCCATTCCCTTATGCTCTGTGAGAGACTAGGCCTGGTCAATTGCCTCTTTTCCTTGCACTGTCATTTTTTCTTTCTCTGCCAAAGACTACAGGTCACTTGTGTGTGAGATGTGGTTGTGGACCTCTTATTCTAGAAGCGACATCTCTGGAAACTGACTCCACAGAATCACCCTCCGACCTTTCCATGTATGGTGTGGTCGCTCCCACATCTCGTTCTCTCTGCCTCCTGTTCTCTCAGTCTCTCTCAATAATTTTCTGTAACCTCTCTGAGCCTTTTCTTCCCCTTTGGATCCTGGCTTCCTGGATTTTTTAGAGGCAGAGCTACGGGAAGTCACAGAAACAGCCCACAGGATGCTTCTGGGTCCTTCCTGCTCTTCTTCATTTCTGCTTCTTGACTTTCCCTCACAGCACAACCCACAGAAGGCCCAGGATGCTCTTGCTGCCTCCATTTCCTCTTGTCCACATTTTCCTCTCAGAACGCCAGCTGATCTTGGTCAAGGAGGCTGCTGACCTTCAGGCTCCAAAGGCCATGTTCCTTGAAGGCCTACTTGGATTCACTTTCTCCACACTGCCCTGTGGTGGAGGTCTCTTTCAATCTTGAATAGGTCTTCTTAGGTCCCCTCATCTCTGCTCTAATTTCCCTGGCTTCATGGTGTCATGCTATGGTATCCTAGTCAACCTGTTAGCTACTCGGAACCTGGCACTCTACTTAGTGTTTCTCCAGAGTCTTCCTAGTTGGCCTACCCCACCACACAATCCCTGTGCAGGAGACCGCCAGTGTTCACCTTCTTTACTCCAAGCCTGCACCTCATACGCTGCATGCTCACACCCCGGTGTCTTCATGGTGATTTCCAGCATCTCAGGAAAACAAGATTTCCCCCCTCTTCCCAATCTATTTCTATTTTCTGTGCAGAAATACAGGCTCAATATCCACATGCAAAGATCAGACCATACAAGTAGTTCCATTTCTAAAATATATCCCAACCCTGGACCCTTTCATTGTTACCATTGTCAGTGCTCCACACCAAATCGCCCCATCATCCCATGTCTGGATAATTTCAGCCAGCTCCAAAATGACCATCTGCCCTCAACTCTTACCTCCTACAATCCATTATTCACACCTAGCCTGCATCCTGCATAAAGCACAACTCCACTTAGCACCTCTAAATTTTTGCATTCCAAAATATGAGTAATTTGAACATTTCCAGGCACTATGGAATACAGTCTATGAAGAGTTAGTGCATATAAGAAATAGGATTTTCAAAAACAATGTTATCTATTAGTATAAAGTTCTTATTTATATAAGTCTAGATTTTTTAAATAAATAAAACACTGTCATTTTACGTGAGCACAGACATGCAAAACCACAGAGTGCTAGGACAGAAAAAAAATATATAACAGAACAGCTCCTAAAAGTGTTTGCCTCCACGCTGCATTTTAGTTGTATTTATATTTGCTGGTATCAAATCCTCTTTTGCCTAATGGATAACTAAATATGGCTTATGATAATAATTTTATGAAAATATATGCATATGTCGAAAATGGTTGCTCAAGTTTTGTTTTTATTAAAATCTGTGAGATTTAACTCAAAAGTCACATTCGCAATGCCTGAGACAGCACAGGAGAGATCTGGGTTTCTGAATTTCAGATGGAAAGACTTATCTGCGAGTGTTCATGAGCAGAAAGAAAATGATGGAGAACTGAGCGATCAATTTTAACTTCTCATGTACTAACAATGACATTTGAAAGGAAATGTTTAGGAATATATAAGGTCTCTTATAATGACTTTGTGAAAACATGACAGGACAGTCTACATCTGAGGCTGAACGAGAAGGCCACTGTTTACATTTCTACCAAGACTGTAATTGTACGTGATATCCCCAATGCACAAAATGCCACAGAGAACATAATAGATGCCCTGTAGCTCCAGTTGGAAATAGGAGGCTTCCTGCTGTAGCAGAGGCATCTGGCTACTTTTCACCCATCTTACCATCTCCTTATCCCGTTTCCAGCCACCCATAAGTAAAGACACAGTTCAGAACTAATGTGCCTTGTGTCAGATGCCAAAGGTCTTTTACTTACAGTCTCACTCTGAACGTCTTTTCAGAAATTGTACAGATAGTTCTGGCTATATTGGGATGCTTATGCTTATCAGAAGCAAAACAAAACATACTAAAAGATGAAAATATAAGTTCTTTAAAAGGACATTGTTAGCCAGGCGTGGTAGTGCACACCTTTAATCCCAGCACCTGGGAGGCAGAGGTAGGCAGATCTCTGTGAGTTTGAGGCCAGCCTGGTCTACACAGTGAGTTCCAGGACAGCCAGGGCTATGTAGAGAGACCCCGTCTCAAAAATATTGTTATCCATTAATCTGACACAGAGCCCACAGGATGGCATTTTATTGGAGGGGCAGAGGAGAGGAAAGGGAACAGCAGGTGCATTAGGCTTTTAAGCCAGGGCAGGGCAAGGCCTGTTTACACAGTGGATTCTGTACTCTGGAGAAGCAAACCACCCGCCAGGCAGCAAAAACTCTGAAATACAGTACTGACAGGTTTATGCATGTACGCATGCATGTACATATATATGTACACACACACACAAAGATGCTCTTTTGCTACAACTGCTACACTATTTTTCCCAGAAACTTAGTATAGTTTAGATGTAGTTTCAAATCTGCTACATCAAACCACCAAACACTGTTTTAAGGAAGTACAAATCCAACAAGAAACATCTTGTGCTGGTTGGTCTCACCCTCTGGCACAGGCAATACTGGCATGGGAATGATGGGTAGAAGCTATCAGTGAGGCAGATGTAAACCGCATTGTATCTTGCCTGATACAACACACTGAATGCTGCTCCATTACTTACAACATGCACTCTCTTATCTTGTGGTCAGATGGACACAGAGCCTAAGGAAAACCTGAATTCTTTTTTTTTTTTTTCTTAATTCTGTTATTCTCACAAAAGCAGTTATACGCCAAGCTTTTCTCTCTGCTCATGTAGTTTATGTTTTTGCTATATGTGACAATGCTTTAAAAACATACCAGAAAAACTGCCGCAACATTTCTGAAAGACAAACCACATCCCTGATGGCCATCCATCCAGATATCCATAAAAAAGCGTTTCTAACAATCCCCATTGTCTTTGCTATTTTTAACAAGCACAAAAGAAGCATCTATAGGGTTAGGTTTTAGAGACTCCATGCTGCTTTCCACCAAGCAACCTCATTAGAAATGGGTCCACTTCTCACTATGAAAAACGCTTGAGCAAAAAGCCTCTTACCTGGGAATATTCGAAGTCAGTGATAGGGGCTATGCTCTTGATGTAATCGGACCGAAACTGGTTTTCAGGATTGGCCAGTGGGACTGGAGGTATTATAGTACTCATTGCTGAAACGATTGTCTAAAATAGATGAATGGGGAGAAATGGAGAGATATAACAGGCAAGGTTAATCAGAAATATATACTTTCTGTTTACAGAGTGTGAGCCTAGCTTACTCAACACTTCCATTGAACAAACGTTGGGGGGGGGCTTACCACGATAGCATCTTTGACATTTTTCCTGATGTCCAGAATTTTCTGCTTCTTTTCCCTGCATTGAAAGAGAATTGTAATTAATTTCATTCATGATAGAAACCGACTAAGATTTTTAAATGTCCAGTGAGTGCTGTATCAGGTATCCTGAGTTCACTAGAGGTCAGTATTAACCCCCAAGGTATCAGGCAAGCTTTTACCACTTAAATGAAAACACTGCCCTCCTCTTCCATTGTGCTCTAAACAAATTGAATGTATCTGCTTTAAAACCTACAGTTTCAAGCAAACGTCAAGGCCACATAATCACAATTATTGCACACAATAATGGCTATTGCACACAAATACAACTTGACAGTTATACCCAAACCTATCCCTTAGGTTATAGACTGAAGTAGATGTAAGTGGGTTGTACTATAGAGAAAGAGTGTATTGCAGTCTCGTTAGGCTTCATATAGGTAGGTGGTTCTACCTTGGTGGATTCAACCAACTGAAGATCAAAAAACGTTTGGCAGAAAAACAAAACAAAAATCTGTATCCACACTGAATGTGTACAGGCATTTTTCCTTGTGATTATTTCCTGAACCATCCAACACGATGCATTCACAGCTTTTATTAACACATTTTAGTAGGTACTATGAGTCATCCAGAGGAGATACACAATAAATTGAAAGACGGTCATAGGTGTTTTGCAACTATTACACCATTTTGTACAACAGCTTTTAATATGTTAGGCTCTCCAGAGCCCTCCCCTTCAGATACTAATGGATAAAGGATCAGGGTATTGGCCGAAGGTTCAGCGCCACACCGGTGTTAGAGACCCGTTCACCCAAGAATCCCTAACAAACTGTATTTTGACAAGCCGTTTACTTTCTAAACTAGATATCGCCAAAGAAGGGTTTGCTTAAATGGAGCAAATTCTATGCTAGATTTCTACCTCCCACGCCCCCTCCCCCCAATCTATTTCGTTATCAAAAGAACTGCTTGGAGAAAGTACTTCTGAGAAAAGATGGTGAATACGTAGAATTTAGAAATCAAATCCAAACTGGGTATCCTTACTCGGGGTTGAAGCCATTGACATGCAGGATCCTCATCTGTTTGACGATGGTGCTTTTCCCGGACTCACCAGCCCCTGCAAACAAACAGAAATGTGGTCATTCGTGTCCTCCTATCAGGCCGTACCTACTCAAGGCGTTCTTCCCTTACGTGGGGTCTTTTGAGTACACACCAGATGTGACTCTCAGTAGTTCAGCCTGGCCAAGTTCCTGCGCCCGGTGGTGCGCAGCCCGGTTTGTCTGTGCCGGTGGTGGCGGTGAGTCCGGGACTGTGCACTCCCGGACGCTGGGAGCCGCAGGGGTCAGAGTGACCATGCACCCTGGCCTTACCCAGAAGCAGCAGGCGATGAGTCGCTTTGTAAGCCAGGCGCTCTTTCTGCAACTGCTTCTCGATCTTTTTGTTGGCCTCACGGCGTTCTTTTTCATCCACGCCCTGGTCTTCCGCTGTCTTGCTGCTGTTGCCCAAACACCCCATGCCTGCTGGC